GCGCGGCCCGCCGCCGGGCAGAGGGTTCGCCTCGGCCCTCCCTCGGGCGCTCCAGAACGGGCCTCGCCTTCCATGATCGAAGCCTCGCCGCTGGGCCCACTGCTTGGTGCATGGGCGCGGCCCGGCGCCAGGAGGCGCCAGGAAAACCCGCCACGTGAGCTGCTGCTCTACCCTACCCCTGAGTCGGGCGTGCCCCTCTTTCTGCAGGGGGAGTACTCAATCAAAGGCAGCAGCGTGAGATGGGGATTCCCCGCTGCAATGTCCGGGCAGAGAACCGCGGGGAACGCCTGGAGGCCGCGAGCAGGACATCCACCTCCACGCCCAACTCCTGCTACACGTTTCCTCCTCCAACTCCTCCCCATCCTCCTCGGTCCTCATCCTTCCCATTTTGCTGATGGTTTGCTGCCGCCGCCTCCTGCGCCCCCCGCTTCCACTGCGTCTTCCTCCTCGTCGGCCTCCTCCTCCTCCTCTTCCTCCTCCTCCTCCTCCTCCTCCTCCGCCTCCTCCTCATCCTCATCCTTATGGTTCCTGGCCTTCCATCTTCCCCTCGCGCCAATGGTCGTCCTCCACCAGTGGCACCTCCTCCTGCACCTCGTCAACCACCCCCACCCATGCATCCCCCTACCCATCGTTCTCCTCCTGGCCAGCCTGCCCGCCCTCCTCTTCCTCCTCCCTTTCGTCCTCCTCGCCTCCTCCTTCTCCTCGTTCCCCTGTTCCTGGACCACATCATCCTTCTCTTTCGCCTGCTCCCTCTCCTCCTCCTCTTCCTCCTCCTCCTCCTGCTTTGCGTCTTCATGGCCCCTTCCTCCCCCCCATCGTTCTTTTTTTGTCCCTCTGCGTCCTCCTCCTCTTCCTCCTCCTCCTCCTCCTCCTCATCTTGTACCTCCTCCCCTCCTCCGCCTCCTACTCATCTTCCGCCTCGTCCTCGTCCTCCTCGTTCTCTTCCACCTCCTCCTTCACTCCTTCCCCTCCTCCTGCTCCCCCTCCTTTCCTACTCCTGCTCAGCGTCCTCTTCGTCCTCTAGATCCCTCGCCCGCAGCCCGAGAAAGCCGCGGGGCGGGCGCCTCGGACGCGCGGTGGGGGCGCCGAGCGCGCGCCAGCGACGGTCGGTTGCGGTTGCGCGCGCCTGCGGCCAGGCTGAACCGTGTCGTTTTGTTACGGTTGCAGTTGCGCGGGCGGGTAAAAATGTGTCGTCCTGTTGCGGGCGGCTGCGCGGGCGGGTTGACGTGTGTCGCTTGGTTGCAATTGTGGTTGCGCGCGCGGGCAGTTCGAAATGTGTCGCCTGGTTGCGGCTGCGGTTGCGGTTGCGCGTGCGCGTTGAAATGTGTCGTTTGGTTGCGGTTGCGGTTGCGCGCGCAGGCAGTTCGAAATGTGTCGCCTGGTTGCGGCTGCGGTTGCGGTTGCGCGTGCGCGTCGAAATGTGTCGTTTGGTTGCGGTTGCGGTTGCGCGCGCGGGCGGTTGAAATGTGTCGACTGGTTGTGGCTGCGGTTGCGGATGCGCGTGCGGGTTGACATTGCGCGGTTGGGTTCAAATGTGTCGCCTTGTTGCGGTTGCGGTTGCGCGCGGGGGCCGGTTGAAATTTGTCGTTTGGTTGCGGTTGCGGTTGCCGTTGCGCGGGCTGGTGGAAATGTCTCGCTTGGTTGCGGTTGCGGTTGCGGTTGCGCGGGCGGGTTGAATTGTGCCGCTTGGTTGCGGTTGCGGTTGCAGTTGCGCGTGCGGGTTGGAATTGCGCGGCTGGGTTGCGGTTGCGGTTGCGGTTGCGCGGGCGGGTTGGAATGTGTCGTTTGGTTGCGGTTGCGGTTGCGGTTGCGCGGGCGGGTTGAAATGTGTCGTTTGGTTGCGGTTGCGGTTGCGGTTGCGCGTGCGGGTTGAAATGTGTCGCATGGTTGCGGTTGCAGTTGCGTTTGGGCGGGCGGGTTGAAATGTGTTGCCTGGTTGCGGTTGCAGTTCAACGCGCGGGCGGTTTGAAATGTGTCGCATGGTTGCGGTTGCGTTGGCGGTTGGGCGGGCGGGTTGAAATGTGTCGCCTGGTTGCGGTTGCGGTTCAAAGCTCGGGCGGGTTGAAATGAGTCGCCTGGTTGCGGTCGCGGTTGCGTGGATGCGCGGGCGGGTTGAAATGCGTCGCCTGGTTGCGATTGCGGTTGCGGTTGCAGTTGCGCGTGCGGGTTGAAATTGCGCGGCTGGGTTGGGGTTGCGGTTGCGGTTGCGCGGGCGGGTTGAACTGTGCCGTTTGGTTGCGGTTGCGGTTGCGGTTGCGCGTGCGGGTTGGACTTGCGCGGCTGGGTTGCGGTTGTGGTTGCGGTTGCGCGGGCGGGTTGGAATGTGTCGTTTGGTTGCGGTTGCGGTTGCGGCGCGCGTGCGCGTTGAAATGTGTCGTTTGGTTGCGGTTGCGGTTGCGGTTGCGCGGGCGGGTTGAAATGTGTCGTATGGCTGCGGTTGCGCGCTCCCGCGGGTGGCTTGAACTGTGTTGTCAGAAGTGCTGTCTTGTCGTTCAGTCAGTCAATCAGTCAGTCACTGGTGAGCACGGAATTTCACCTGGCTCAGCCAGGGAGAATCGCGAACAATTGTCTGGGAACGACGGTTCGAATCTTTGTGGTTGTTGTTTGATTCCATTCTTCTTGCGAAATTCTTCCTTGCGAAATCCACCTGTAGAAGGACACCCCCGACCTTACCGTCGGCTTTCCCCCTCGTCCCCCATGAAAAATGTGGGGCGCTCCCAGCGAGTCCCCACCCACCAATCCGCCCCAACCCAACTCGAAGGTCCCAATGAACCCTCCATTTCCAGTGGGGGGGCGTCGGGGAACAATGAAAAACCACATGTGGAACCCGTACCCCCCCAACCGGACATTTGGGTCTTCGGGTTGGGTTCGGGTGTTTTGGTCGGTAGTCAGAGAAGGCTTCGCCTTCAAGGGTCGATGGAGTTGCCATCCTTCCCTCGGCGGAAGGCGGCTGACGGTCGGCGGCCGCTGGCGGAAACAAAGGGAGGCCTGCGGAAGGCCCGCGGAAATCATAAACGTGCCCCTAGGAGATGTCAATCGGGGCGATCGAAATGGGTACGGAAAGAATGGGTACAAAGACCGACAGCATTCTTTGTTCATTTTGAACAGGGCTCGCTGTCGGTGTCGCCGCGGACGGTGTCCGTTTGAGACGGAAGGCCGCCTGCCCAACAGCGGCCGCTTTCGTGTTGTTGGGCATCGTGCCTACTTCTGCTCACACTTATGTTGGGCTTCCACGTCATGTTTTTTGGGTTCAGGGCTTCCAGAACCGACCATGTACGCCCCCCTGCGTGTGGCACCTGGCACCGTCTGTGGCCTCTGTCGCGCAAGCGGGCTAGCCTACGCACGCGTCTGGGTGCACTTCTGCTGGCACTCTTCGACCAGGCTCCATGGGACTGGCACGTGAACGCCGCGCACATACCCGCGAACGAGGCATCGCCGCGGAACCGCTCCAACTGCACTGCGCGTGGCTGAATTGGGTGTGAGCTGTGTTGGCTTCTCCCAGCGGGCCTTCGAGGCAGCGTCACTGCAGACGTAGCATAGCTACACCGTCCCAGCGACCTCCTATCAGACTGCGGACGAGGACAGTCACGAGGCGCTGGTGGCCCCGCTCCACGTGCCCCCGAACCCGGCGAGTGAGGCATGCGCGCCGCGCCTCGACGGGAGCGCCGCTTTCTCCGGCGACCTCTGCGCAGCGCCGAGGAGAGAGCGACATGCCCATCCGCCCGCGCGTGGACCAGTGGGCCCGCGAAACATGGGCGCCGCGGAGTGCGGAGCCGAGGCCGGCGCGAACCCTCGCCCTCTCCCTCGGGAGCCTCGAGACGGAGGTCAATGCAAACAGGGGTCAGCCAGAGCGCCCGATCGTGCAGGATCCTGCAGGGCCAGGGTCGCATTGACCCGGGTTTGGGTGCAGGATCTTGCAGGACCCTTCGCATTGACCCGGGCTTGGGCGCAGGATCTTGCAGGATTCTGTAAGGCCTGACTGACCCGGGTCTGGATCCACCCGGGTCAGAGGACCCCCGACTCCCAGATGTGCGGCGTGCGCCCCCGTCCCGCTCCCGCCGCCGTGCTTCCTGCGGCAGCGTGGCCACCAGCACGTCCGTGCTGACAGCGCACGCGCAGACTTCTTGGCACTTCTGCACCGCACGTTGCCGCGCCGCCCCGCTCTGGCGCACCATCTGCTACGCCGCGCGGGCGCGTGACACACCGGTGGCGCCGAGCCGCTGGGCACGTTGACTTCACTGGGTCAGGTTAGATTTGGCGCAGTGTCGACAGGGCCTGGGTCAGGTTAGGGTGGGGATTGGCTACGTACGCTTGAAGACTTTGCATCAACAGCGCTCCGACGACAAAGAACCAAATTCCCCCCCCAGCCCCGGGCCTTCATATTGGGATGCATTGCGATCGAGACCTTAGGTTCAATTTTTTTTTCCGGCCGCTCATCTCTGGGACCAACTGCTCAATATTAAGGCCGGGGGGGTGCGGGGGGGTGTATTCGAAGTGGTCCTCCAACTCTTGATGCACAGTTTTTTCCATCAACGGTGGGGGAGGTGTACGGATTCGTTAAACAGGTATGATGGGTCCTCCGCGGTGGGTTCGCTGTCGGCCGGCTGGGTGGCCAAGCAGGGGTCTACAGCAATACGGAAGAAGGATATTGTGGAGGGTTGAGTCGGGCATGCCCCTCTACAGGAGCAGCATCCAAGAATAGTCACAACAATAGTGTGGGGACGATGTTTCCGCTATTTTCTTATATGCTCCAATCTTCTTGGACTGTTTGTTACTTCTCCGTCTGAAATCCGCCTGTAGGAGGAGGACGTACCCGACCGAAGGGTGGGGTGGGGGACGCAGAGGAAGAGGAGGGCCTTGCGGATTCGTGCCCGTGTCCGGCGGTCGGGGGCGTGTCCCCTGCCAGGTCGCGGAGGATCCGCGGGACACCGACCTGCACCCCATCGTCGGCTTCCTGCCCTCGGAGGTACGGGTGGCGGCGGTCCGCGCCCTCTGCGAGGGACTCCCGTTTCTTCGCCTGCCTCTCTGTCCGCCCCGCCCCTCGGTCCGACCATCCGATCCGATGCCGGTTTTGGCTGGCCCGATCCGATTCGCTTCGGACGTTCTGCCGTTCTGATGCGGCCAGGCGATTGCCTGGCGTTGCTGTGCGTATTCTGTCGCGGCCGATCCGATTCGATGCAGACTCCGTGGCCGATGTGGCCTGACCCGACGCACGTTCCGATCCGATCCGACCTCCCGATTCGATGCCGAGTGATTAAGCCACGGCCTGCAGGACGTGGCCACCCCTTGAACCAACCTCGCAAGCTCGCCATTCCTCCGCCGCCTCCGCCTCCTCCCACATACATGTTGTGTTTCGTTGCTGTTTGTCGTTGGTTCCGCCGAATGTGTGCGTGCACGTATGTATGTATGCATGCATGTATGATGCATGTATGCATGGATCTACGTGTGTATGTGCGTATGTATGTATTTATGTATGCATGCATGCATGCATGCATGTACGTATGTATATATGCATGAATCTATGTATGTATGTGTGCATGTGTGTATGTGTGTATGTGTGTATGTGTGTATGTGTGCGAATGTATGTGTACGTATGTATGCATCTATGTATGTATGTATGCATGCCCGTGTACATATATATATACACATGTATATATACATATATACATGGTGTATGTACATGTGTATGTTTGCATGTATATATGTATGTATGTATGCATGCTTGTATGTATGTATGTCTGTATTAATGTATGTGTGTTTGTATATATATGTATGTATATATCGTTTTCGTATATGTACACCAGCATCGATATGTATATATACGTGTGTACGATCGTGTGTCCTTACCTACCATTGCAGTATCATGCACACCTATATGTATGCATGTGCATACGGATACATGCGCACACACATACATATACATAGAAAACTGTGTGTATGACTATTCAGATGTGCACGAATACATGCATATAATCGAGTGTGTCAGCGTCCGTTGATTCAAACAATGTAATGTGGTCTCTCTGCACCATGGAGACGACAAGCGGGACCACCATTTGGACAGACCTTGCTGGACCGCTACGCCGTTGCATTACTACCGGCCTGGCCGGACGGGGCGAGGTCGCGGTTTTTTGAACATCTCCCGGTAAGGATCCTTCAGGGGGTGTTTTGATACACCTCTCCCAAGCGCTTCCCAATCCCTCTCGCACACGAGGCGTCCCCAGACCAATAATGAAAACCACTCCCGCAAGGCTTCTTAGGGGGGGGGCGTACGCCGACGTTGAGCTTCCGTCGCCGTCTTTTGCCCTCGTCCTTGGCCGGATCCCACAGGCTGATGTAGAACGATCATCTTCGCGCTAGATCGTGTCGTGGTGTAAATAGGACGTATCATTAAGTCGGGCACGTCCCTCTACAGGAAGAATATTCAAAACTAGTCAACAAATAGTCTGGGGACGATTTTGCGATCATGATTTGACTTTTTGGTGGTATTCTTTGATTATTTTGCATTCTTCGTCCAAAACCTGCCTGTAGGAGGACATGCCCGACCTAAACGGGTCAGGGACTTGTTGGGTCGTCTTGAGAATTGCTCGTGCCGTTTTGCAGCCATTCCTGGCCGTCTTTGAGCCCTCTTGAGGGCGCAGAAATGCGGTTTTGACCCCCCCTCCCTAAGGATCTTCAGGGGGGGTCCAATTTGAACTTCCGAGCACGACCTTGCCCTCATATTTACAACATCCATCCACCTGGTGGTGTAATGGATTAATGGTGTAAAACCTACATCATTCCGCGTAAAGGTGTAATCGTGTAGTGGTGGAAAACCCATGCCATTCAACAACATGGTGTAATGGTGCAGTGGTGTGAAACCCACGCCTTTCCATAAAACATGTGTAATGGTATAGTGGCGTATCGCGTACATTCGCCTACTGGTGTAATGCCGTAGTAGTGTAAACTTTACACCATTCAAACAGGTGGTGTAATGATGTAGCGTCTTAGCGCGTACACAACTGTGTAAACTTGTGTAATGGTGAAATGATGCAGCGCTTACAGCAATCTCCAATATTGTGTAAAGGTGTAGCGGTCCAGGTTTCAGTTTTCCGATCCAGATAGCCGCCTCGCTAAGCCTTTCCCGGGCCCCTCTTAGGGCCTCCCTGGGGCTCTCTTTGGCCGTCAGCGGGGCCCATAGGCCGTCTTGGGGCCTTCTTGGGGTGTCTTGGCTTTCCGTGGGGCCTCCAGGAGCGCCTTGGGGCGATCTTTGGGGTCCCTTGGGCCGTCGTGGACGCTGTCAAGACGAAGAAGGCGAGTATGCTAAGGCAAGTTGGCAATGTTCGGCATTTGGGGGCCCTCTCGGCGTCCCTCTGGGAACACTCTTGGGCCGTCTTGACGCCACCTTCGACCGTCGTGGGGTTGTCTTGGCCGTATCGGCACTCTCTTGGGCCAGTTTGGCGCTCTGTGTTGGCCCCCCAGGGCCGTCTTGGAGCTTCTTGGGGGCACTTTGAACCTCAGTGGGGGGGGGGGAAGGGGCAGGGGGCAGAACAAATTGCTCACACGCCTTTTTACCCCCATCAAGCGGGGGTCGGCAGACTGTTGGCCACATCGGAGCCATCTTGGATCACTCGGGAGGCCTCTTCGGCCTCAGTGTTCATTTGGAGGGCCTCTTGGCGTTGACGAGCTCGACGGGCACGATCCCTCCACCCACCCCAACCACCCACCCTGACCCCCCTTGGTTGGACGGGAAACTTGGGCCCTGTGGGGAGCTCCTTGGGGCTGTCTTTTTGCCCTCGTAGGCCGTCTTGGGCGCCTCTGGGGCGGAGCCCTCTTGGGCCGTATTAAGGCCCTCCTGAGGGCCCCTTGGGCCGTCTTGGGGCGTTCCTGGCGACACCACTGGCAAATCAATGATTTTGGCCTCTCGGGGCCCTCTTGGGAAGGCTCCTGGGGCTTTGTCGGGGCATCTTGGAGGCCTCGTGGGCCGTCTTTGGACAATCTTGGGGTCGTTCGTAGACTCGGGGCCCTCTTGGACTTTCTTGGGGGCCTTTTGGGGCCCGTCTAGGCCCGTCCTAGGCCCCGCTTGGGCCCGAACAAGTCACGCGAGAAGGCGCGAGAAGCCCCAGGGAGGACTCGCACAGTCCAAGGAGATGTGGCAATTTGGGCTCGCGGCCCCTGAAAGGCTCCTCAGTAATTAGCGCTTAAGGGGTTAGGCAAAGGACCTGAGGACACGCCCATTCCATGCCCAGCGGCACGGTGGCGGATGTTGTGCAATTTATTTGGTACAGTCAGTGCGGTGGAATATGTTGTATAATCGTAATATACGTGGTGCAACCCATGCGGTACAATCAATGGGGTACACTGTTGTGAAAACTATGGGGAGAAATATATGCTGTGACATCTGTGTGGTGTAGTATGTATGTGTTGCAATCTACGCTGTGCAAATCTATGCCGTGCAATATGTAGTATAACAACATAGCTGGTGCATTATATGCTGTGCAACCTATGTGGTGCAATCAAAGTGGTGCAATCAACGTGGTACACTTGCAATCTATGTTGTGCACCTATGTGGTGCAATCATGTGGTGCAATCGGCGCGATTTCCAATACAGGTTGTGCAATCTATTGGGTCAGTATTTGCGGAGAAATACATGTGGTGCGCTCTATGTTCTACAATATATGATTGCAAGCTGTGTGGTGCAATTGATGGTGGTCCAATCTATGTGGTTCAATCTATGTGGTAGAATTTATGTGGTGCAGTTGATTTGAACAAACGAGTTGACACCTCCTTGTTCGCAGTGAGTTGTCCACTCCACTGCTCGCGCAAACATCCCACCCACCCACCCGCAACTTGGTTTACAAAATCTCTTAAGACCGTGACGGTGGGTACCACATGGCACTTGGCAACAACAGCGACGCCGACGACGACAGCGACAACGACGATGGCGACGCCGCCGACAACGACTACGACGACGCCGACGACGTCTCCAACGACTTCGACGACGCCGACAACCACGACGACGACGACACCGACGACGACGACGACACCGACGCCGACGACGACGACGACGACGACAGCGACGACGACCATGACGACGTCGACGCCGACCATAACGACGACACCGACGACGACGACGTCAACGACGCCGACGACGACGACGACGACAGCGGCGACGACGACGACGCCGACGTCGACGACGACGAAGACGACAACGACGCCGACGCCGACGACGAAGACGATGACGACGTCGCCAACGAAGACAACGAGGAAGGAAGGAGGACGACGACGGCGACAACGACGACAACGACGAGGGAGGAGGGACGACGGCGACGACGCGAACGACGAAAAAGGAGGAAGGACGGCGACGCCGACGACGGCAACGACGAGGGAGGAGGGAAGACGACGACGACGACGAAATAGGAGGGACGACGACGAGACGCCGACGACGGACGACGACGACGACGAGGGAGGAGGAGGAAGGACGACCACGGCGACAACGACGACAGAAACGACCACGACGCCAAAGAGGACGACGACGACGAACACGAGGAAAGACAGAGGACGACGTAGGCGACGACGACGACGACAACAACGCAGGGAGGACGGCGACGACGGCGACGACGACGACGCACGAGCGCGCGCGCACGCTTTTGTTGAAAGTCCGTGTTGCGAAACCTGGTGTTTTTGTAGGTTTGGACGAACGATTTTGAAATCCTTCCGAAACCGATGGGTTTTGAAGGTTTTCGGCATACGCGCGCGACGACGCGCGCGTTTGCACTTCGTCCTTTTTTTTGCAGGGGATTTTCGCGACGGCACACGCGCAAGGGCGTTCGACAGATTTCGACATGAGCGCGCGCGAAACCCGTCTGGGGCATTTTGTGAACATCTTGGAAAACCTATGGTTTTCTTCAGATTTCGCAAGAGCTTTCGCGGACGCTTTTTTTGGCAACCTGGTGTTGCGAAACCAAATGTTTTTGTATGTTTTTGGGAAACTCGATTGCGAAATCCTTCCCGCACCGCAGGT